GGCTAATGATAAATATCATAAAGCCTGCCACTTGAAATAAATAAATAAATATTGTGTGTTTCTTTTAANTTTATTAAGCCATTAATGTTGTATTGCTGCGAGCCACTCATTACAGCCACAGAGGTGACTCTCAAACCACTCGAGAAGGCACACAACCAAGCATTACAACTAAGTACTGGAGGGATAAAATCAACACCCATTGATGCAATGCTCCTAGTTACAGGAAACACCACAATAGGTTCCCTTATCAAAGAAAAGGCCTTGATCCTGTTTGAGAAGCTACTGCGCATTCCCATGGACAAGTTCTTCAGCACCTATGAGAATAGACCAAGACATCTGAAAACGCAATGTGGTCTAATACAGAAAGCCTTAGAACTGAAGTAAGAATTACAAATCGATGACAAACCAAAAAGCCTCTCTCTCCTCATGAACCCATTAGCAGACATTGATGTAGTTGTCACACTTGCTAAGAAGGGGACAACGATTTTGCAATGCATGGACCGGCCGATGTCTTTCCACACAATGGAGGCCTTAATCAGGAGAGAATTCCAAACCTCAATGTACAACGAAATTAAAGCTCGAACAAAGGAGAAACAGTGGACAGTGGCACTCTCGGACATACCCGGGTGGCCAAGAGTCGAAGCCGTTGCTGAGTTTAGACTACGTACCGGACACGATGGCTTGGCGAAACTCCTTCACAGATTGAGATTATACACTCAACCCACATGCCCTCTATGTAACCTACATGAGGAAATGGTAGTATACACTCAACCCACATGCCCTCTATGTAACCTACATGAGGAAATGGAGAAGACCCACCTGATTCGGTGTCTAGCCCTAAAGCCAACTACGGAAAGCCAAAAATACTCTGAAGCAAGAAGACTGCTAATGAACGGCTATTGATTAACTGCTATAAATGTACCCCCCCCCTTCTTGGGGGAAGCTGAAGTCAAAGATTAAGGGCTAATGATAAATATCATAAAGCCTGCCACTTGAAATAAATAAATAAATATTGTGTGTTTCTTTTAATTTATTTTACCGTTTCTCAAGGACTAAAATTCTACAAAGTATTGACATTTTCCCCCCTTATTTTGTATCAAGAATTAAAAAGCAATTTTCATCCTGTCAGCGATGATTTAGTAGTTCATACTTGTAACAAATTCACACTTTGAGATTGTGTGTGCAGATAGTCTCTGTTTTGGGAACATTTGGACTTCATTCAATTCATCTTAAAATATCAAACTGTCAATCATTTGGGAAAGTGAGTTGACCGGGTATGTTGGGAATGCTCAATTTCTAATTCACCTCCCTTAATTGGCAAATTTGTGACACACCAGTGCCATGAAACTGGAAGTATAAGTGGCAAGCGTTGTCAGCGAATTCACTTGCAAAAGTTCCATCACCATGTTACGATAGCGTCATATATTGTGTTCCACAAAGTTTTTAACGTGACAACTATTCTTGCGTTCATAACTTTGGTGGTAAACTTTGAGCTACGCAACGCCTATGGCACCACCTTCTATTTGCGCTGAAAACTTTTGAAAACAAAACCTTGGCAAGTAGAATGACATATATTTTTGCTTTCTTATTAATTGACTGCAATTATCTTACAATGATATTTATTTATTTCAAAATGACCGGCGTTTTGTTAATTATCATTGGCCCTCTAGCTGACTTCGGGCTTAACAGAGGGCTTCGAGAGGAGGGAGAAATGTGTGATTCACAAATGTAAGAGAGACTGATAGGCAGCCACAAAGGTATTGTCGGGTCATAGTGTCAAAAGTCAGAAATCAAATTGTCGGGTGTTAGACTTGTTTGTCATATGAGAATTCGTTGCCCAGGGTTCACCATGTGGAGTTAACTCTATCCTCACCACAGCATCCTAATAGAAGACATGGTGTCTCTCGCCGCTCTTCCTCTGACCCGACATTGTTCTAACGATATGTCTGGTATACATTTTATGTCAATGGACAGCATTCACACTGGGAAAATATCCTGCTCACCTCTACTTTAGCTTGTCGTATGCCAAGAGACAGATAATACATTTTATTTTGAATTGTACTTATCTAAACTTTTATACCTCCAAATTCCATGCATAGCGAACCAAACACGTCGCTCTAATTAATGTCGGCTTATAACTTAAACAAACTTTAATTCACACTCTTCTTAATTTCCTTCAGTAAAGTGCTAGTGCTAAATCACAAGCGCTCGATATGTATCTAAATGCAATCCATGGAGAAAGCCTTGATTCCAGCATTATTTGAAACAATCTAGGCAATTTTATAGTGCCAGAGGAAGACACACTAGAGTACGCCACAAAGATTTGTCAATTATTACCGCTACATGTATCTGTGGGACACATCATCAATGACCAAATGGAAATCCTGCTATAGAACCTTACTTAGAAATATTTGCCTATTAAAGTTCAAACGAATTATGCAAGAGTTATCTGATAACTAATCGCTTTGCCAACACTTCACTTCGCTATTAATATACGTATCGAATAAACGTATTCCTTGCTACACGTCTGTTTCCCCTATAGCTGGGCTATAGCTTAGCTTGTTCAGGGAGTCTAGCTAGATGTTGGAGAATCTGCCATAGAGATTTCTGCTACATATCAAGATTTGCGAAAGTTGGTCCATCCGAATACGATGTAAAATAGAATTACACTACCTGTGCACTTTTCCTGCCTAAGTATTGAGTTAGGGGATCATCGGGGCCAGTTTGGTGCTCCAAGTAGTGCCTACTAGTTGAGGGTACTCAGCAGAGATTTATTTACGATTCAACTATAAAGTCGAAACATTTCTTCCTTAATCAGATCACTTGAGAATCTCTGACTAATTACAGTGACAATTGCACCTTATCCCTAGTCCCACTAAACCGATGGGTAGGTGCTTCATCAGGATAGCACTCGACTTTGCCTCACTTGAGCTGCCACCAGGAAAATTACACTTTGTCATGAAATTCAATCATATTGATCATATTAAGGTGATAATTAACACATGACCATTTTTGATACTATTGAATGGCACTTACCTCGACATCAACCCACGTAATCTCATGTATTCATGAACACATTATTGCTCACGGATGATAATATTAAAGTCCACCTACGCAGACAGAATTTTAGTAGTAAATTAATCGTGATTTGTGCTAAACCACAACTGTCCAGCTCAAAAGTAGGAACTTGGTGTACTTAAGAAGTTCACTTGTAATTTATTTATGCATTTTTTTGTAAACTCAGCACAATTCGCACCCCATGCTTTGACAACAATTAGTAAAGGTTATAAAATACAACTAAAAATTCCTCTCTAAACATTTTAGAATATTATGAAAGGAGGTGCCAACTACTTAGCAGTGGATCCTCTGCTTACATAAGGAGAATCGGTGCCTGTAAAGCACTCAGATGGTCAGGTAGCAATAATTATCTTGCTTCAAGTCAGTAGCTCCACTGGAGAGTGCCAGAACATGGCAAGGCAAAATTGGCCATAATGCGTTCATCCAATAAGCCTCACTTGTTGATTGTGGGAACTGAAATTGGAGAGATTTCAATCTGTGAGATGTCTGGTCGTGCATTCCAGCGCCTTCACTCTCTGACTGGCCCAAAGTCATGGATATCACACCTTGATGTTGTGAGAAATTCTGTTGACCCTCATAGACAGGAAGATAGGAGTCTAATTGCCAGTGACAGTTTGAACGGGATTGGTTGATCCGTTAAGGTAATTGCGGATTTCAAGAATTAAAATGAAGAAAACTGATGTCCATTTAATTATATGGAGATCTTCTAGTACGTTAGTTCTCACTTCCATGTGAAAACTTTGTTCTTGCGAAATCGACATCTTCCAGCTCACATAACGTGTGCAGATATAAAGGAAATGAGAAAATTTGGTTTTGGGGGTAGGGCTAAC